CTCGGCCCCCGGCCCTCCCCGGCCCTCCCCGGCCCGCGCACCTCCTCGGCCTGCCTGCGCAGCGCCTTCTCGCGCTCGTACTGCGTGAGCAGCTGCTCGTTGTCCTCGCGCAGCAGCTCCAGCTCCACCTCGTGCTCCTGGTTCTCGCTCAGCACCGAGTCCAGGTTCTCCAGCACGTTCACCACCAGCGGCATGAGCTCCTTGACCACCTCCTCGTCGTAGCAGTGGATGAGGCGCTCGAACTCGCGGTAGATGGAGCCCGCCAGGCCCGACACGCGCTCCGACATCACCGAGCCGGAGCAGTAGTCGTCCTGGTACACCACCACGCCGCCGCCCTCGTCCATCTGGATCTCCATCATGGTGGCCGCCAGCGCGGCCCGCTCCGGCCGCCCGGGTCCGCAGGCCGCAGGGAGAACGGGACAGCCGCGGTCGCCTCAGGCTGCGTCGCCGCCGCCGCTGCCCAGGCCGCGCCCGTCACTCGCCCGCCGGAAGTCCCGCCTCCCGGGGAGAGGTGCCCAGCCTAACTGAGCGGAGTGGAAGGGACAGCGTGTGCTGACAGCGGCTCCTCTGCACCACTGCCTGCCTCAGCTCCGGGGCTTACACACATCTGTGATCACCAGGCCCCATCTAGAAAAAGAGCTGGCCTGTAGTGCACAGTGGTCTCTTCCACAAAACTGAAAATGTCTGCTTGATTCCATAAAGGTGCGAGAATACCTAATAATATCTATAGTATTTAGCCCTTTTCTTCAGTTATAACCTCTCCTGAGGTCTTTCCAAGGGCATGCTAGGAGAATTTAACCACAGCCTTCACTTGGCCAGCCCAACATTGGTTTGTTTCTGCTCTGCTCTGCGCAGCTTCTTGAAATAGCAGGGGCAGTGGAGAGTCTTGGCATTACCACACTCTCTGCAAACTACATATACCCAGTGGTCCCGGTCCATCCTAAGCATAAGAGGGAGGGCACTGCACAGAGCAGGGTGCCTACTCTAGTCAGAGCTCATTTCTAAGCCACAAGGCTACCACTCAAGCTTCATGCTCTCCACTTTGGTTTTCTTCTTTAAGTCTCTCCTTATCCATTATTTTGACCACACAGATAGATGCAGGATGAAGAAAAGAAACACACCTGGTGTCTTGTTCAGGTACTGAAGGAGGACCCAGAGCAGATCCTGCTCAGTGCAGTGGAGTGGGCTGCCCAGCACAGGGAGGTGACCACAGCCCCAAGGCAGAGCCACAAGAACCCATCATTCCAAACCTCTGGGGGAGCAGTGGTGGGGCTCACCCCCTACTGCAATGTGATGGAGAAGGAAGACTCCAGGCGGGGCTCTAGGGCACGCTCTGAATTTGGAATGGTACCTGTGGAGGCATGCAACCTTGGCCCAGCTCCTCCACCTCTTAGGACCTCATTCCTTCTCCAATAAAGGCCTGAGATCATCCTGAACTCTCACGCACCAGCTGTTCTTAAATACAGCCTGACAATCTTGAATGGACTATCCCAGCTGATAGACAACAGCCCCTCCACACACACCGAGAGCCAAAAGCAGAGAATGGCAAATAAGAATGATTCAAGATAAATACCCTTTGATCCAAGTGAAGTCACAAGCCACCCTAGTTTAAGAAAGAGACAAACTACCAAAACACTTTTCAATCCTAGTCTCTAGGAGTCTAAGACAAGTGAAGAGCAATTTAACATCATTTAAGAAGGCTCTATCATGGATCTAAGTAATACCTCCTTCACCCTCAAAGAGCCCAATTTCTGGGGTTGTAGACCACGCAGACCAACTCGCTCCTCGGAGTGAGGGGGAAAATCAAAACCCTGAGTGGCCAGCCGAGTGGCCAAGGTCACAGGCCAGCGGAGAGGGAGCCCAGGTCTCCGAGTTCCGCCAAGGCCAGGCTGCGGGTCTGCCCACGGAGGAGAGGAACGCACAGCGCTGCCCGGCAGCGACCCGGAGGATCGCTCACAGGGGAGTGGCCAGCGGCACACCGCGCGCTGGGGCCTCGGCCGCTTTCTCCCCCGACGCTTGCGGGCCTCAGCATCCCCGGGCCTGC